ATGAAAGTTATAACGCTGATGTTAATAGAAGCATTTGAAGAGATGTTTTGTCCAGGAACCACAAGGAAAGGTGAGCTTTAGAAGAAGTACTAATTGGCTCCTTGGCAGCTGAGCACTTGGAGAGCCATGGGTGTGCAGACAGAATTCGCAAAAGAAAATTACGGTTGACAGTACATATATCAGGCATCAATGGGATAATTATTGCTATGTAGTTGTTATAATTTACTCATGTTTAGGACTTCATTTTGTGTGTGTGTGTGTGTGTGTGTGTGTGTGTGTGTGTGTGTGTGTGTGTGTGTGTGTGTGTGTGTGTGTGTGTGTGTGTGTGTGTGTCTGTCTGTCTGTCTGTCTCCTGTCAACAATACTCTCTTGAACATAGGCAACAATACTACAACATCATTGTCGTATATCCTGACGTCAGAACAAACTCTTATTCGTTACTTTAAGTTCACAAATAGGCTACTTGTATATTAGGCCTATGTGTAAAGACTTCATGAATACATGAATAACAAGAGTAGCTAAGGGAAGATGTTAGTAATCTTTTTTTCTTTTTTTTTTTTTTTTTTTTTTTTTTTTTTTTGGTGTCCACTAGGGAAGGTTAGTAGTTGGCCTTTCGAATACTTATGCTCATTTATTAGAAAGTGGGTCTAGTCCGTATCTAATGGGAGATTGTGAAAAATACTATTACCATGAGGGATTTTGAATCAGCACAAAGTGTTCCTATAACCAAGACACTCTTCCATAGGGTCGGTTCAGGAATATTTTCATAGTGCAAGAGGTATGTTGGATTGGTTTCGATTATGCCATGCCCTCATCAGAAATACATGCATTTCTGACAAAGATACAATCGAAACCAGTCGGATGCATCTCTGGTGTAGTGAAGATATTCATCCTCATTCATACCTTTTCTATATGTCCATTGAATACAGTTCACGGTTAGGTCAGGCTATACTCCCCGAGGTGATTTCCCTTCAAGTAAGGTCAGGTTGGCATTTCAGTATTAAAAGAGCTTATTTTATGTAGGTAAAAGGGAGGATGGAATTAGGCATTGGTAGCATGCAGGGTATTAATGAAGATGGCATCATTCTGGGGGATCTAACCTGGTTATTTTTTTTTTTTTTCTAAACAATCTGTATATAAAATAATTAACATGACGTGTAAGATGATAAATTTATAAGGGGGTCATAGTCAATAAGTTGAGCTTTTATAATTTATTTCGAGCAAATAACCTGAGGCCGTAGAGCCATGGCATACTTTATCACATAGACCAAGCTGCCTAGATTAAGCTGACTGCACATTTGCTAGTAATTGGTTAAAGTTTTATTAATAAATCAGAATTATCAAATCAGAGTAATCACCCCCCCAAAAAAAAGTTCTTAGATAATGTAATCAAGAGAACTGATTAGAAATCAGTAGAAATCCCTTTTAAATTAAACAAGGACCCTAATCCACACAACTTGGGAACGAGTGGTAGGGCTTGTGGATATCTGTTGCAAGGGTGAAGCTTCGGGTGAGGACAAAAACATAATATGAGATGATAGCCTTTAACTGTTGATGGCAGGAGTTTAAATATACATGTCTGATGTGATTTTAATTTTGTTTTACACTTTCAACTTATGCACTAAGGAGTCAGGGACAAATCTTACCAGATCTTGCCGGTTTAAATATTTTTGGAGGGGATGGCCTTAGTATTGTTGTTAACATAGTGATGAATGTAATGTCAATGATAATGATAACAGAAGCAAAAGAATTAGAAGAAAAAAAAATTTCCCTGTAAATTCAAGGAATGATATAATCAGGTGAGATGAGGTAGGCCAACTAATTGAGTCTTTAGTGACTAGGCAATTATGTGCATATATAATGAATAAACTAAAAATAGGGATGGACATAGCATTTACTATTATGTTTGTGTTACCAGGTCCAATGGATTTAATTGTCGTGTGTTTAAGCTGGGGATTCACGAAACTTATCAGTCTAGGGGACAGGACCCAGCTTAGGGACTGTCACCCTTCTGCTCCAATCTTGCTGCAAATCCTGGTCTTTTTTTTTTTTTTGTGGGGAATGAAGACTGGAAAATGACGAATGGCCATCTTGGACATTTTTAAATATGATTAATCCATTTTGATGTCATTAAAGTGTTTTGAAGCTTAGGAGAGGATAATTGTAACTGAACAAGAATTGATGGCTGAGCAGTCCAAGGTGATTTAGGAACCAGGGCATAACACAAGTTGTGGAATGTAGACAATATTTAAACAGAAATTTCTAATCTCACTGTACCCACAGATAAGGGAAAATGTCTGTTTTCTGTCATGATGACCACCATGCTTCTTTGCTTTGTAATGGTTGATGTGAAGATTCAGGGGAATACCTAATTTTAGAAGAAGATAATGTGTTAACCTAGACTAGGCCCATAATTATGTTGAAATAGAGTAGGTCTAAGTAACTAAAGGTCAAATTGTTATTAAAAAAAAAAAGGTATAATTGTCATTCAAATGAAAAA